CTCTACGAAGAAGTATCTGAGAACTTAAAATGGTAAATAGGGAGCTTTGGGAAGACCTGAGGGAAGAATCCTGCACTACCTCTCACACTAAACATTGTGTGATCAGTTAGTAACCCTTGATACCTCCTCCTCCCTCTGTTCTGAGGGACCCTGTGCATGTAACATTGAACTGCACCCCCACCTTCGACTCTGATTTGCTTTTTCATGCTCTTGCTTTAAATTGTACAACTATATTTCTCACTTAGGGAAACTTTTGGAGACACTGTCTTACAGAGAGCCCTCTGTTATCAATGAAAATGACATAGCTAGGTGTATTTGTGCATGTCTATATAATTCTAGCACTCAAGAGGCTGAGGCATGATAGTGAGTTTGGAAACATATTGAGACCTTGTCTCAACCCCTCATCCCACTAAAAGGAAAACATAAAAATCTCCAACAACCAATCAGCCAACCAACTAACCAAAAAGCCAGACCAAACCAAAACAGCAACAAAAATCCCAGACTTCTTGTACATTCCAAGCACAGGCAGTATGTCAATATCTATCTATCTATCTATCTATCTATCTCTCTATCTATCTATCTATCTATCTATCTATCTATCTATCTATCTATCTATCATCTATCTATCTATCTATTATTTATTTATTATTTAGTTTTTCGTCTTTTTGAAGCAGTGTCTCCCTGTAGACCAAGCTGGCCTGGAACTCACTATGTAGACCAGGCTGGCCTTGAACTCACAGAGATCCGCCTGCCTCTGCCTCCTGAGTGCTGGGATTAAAGGTGTGTACCACCACACCCGGCAACATTTATTTTTTTATCATGTAAATTCCACAAATCAGGTTTTAGTATTCCCATTTGCACAGATGAAATACTGCTATTTTCCCAGTCAGTTCATTTTAGAGTAAAAACTAGAGCCCAAACTCTTTTCTTTTTTTTTTTTTTTTTTTTTTTTTTTTTTGAGACAGAGTCTCCCTGTACTCCTAGCTGGCCTGTAACTCACTTTGTAGATGAGATTGGCCTAGATCTCTCAGGCCTGCCTCTCCCTTAGAATCCTGTGATTAAGGACATGTGTCACCATGCCAGGCCTAAGCTCTTTTTCGCTAACACCCTGTAGACCACTCTTGTGCTGAAGTTGTAACAGTTACCACGTGCTGCCCTTGAAAGCATTCAGAAACATCAAATGAATTGTCTTATTTTTATGAATTTTAGCCAATCTCATGCTAAACATTGTGTGATCATTTAGTAATCCTTTGCCCCTTCCTCTTCCTGTTAGATTTTTTAAAAAATTATTTTCTATGTGTATGAGTGCACCACACGCATGCAGTGCCCGAGGAGGCCAGAGAAGGGTGTCAGAATTCCTGGATGTGGAGTTACAGACAGTTGTTAGTTATTAGTAGGTGCTGGGAACCAAACTCAGATCCACTGCAAGAGCAGAGGCCCTTAACTGCTGAGCCATCTCTCTAGTCCCCAAACTGAATCTATTTGTTGTTGATGATTTTTTTGAGACAGGGTCTCTCTGTAGCCCCAGTTGGCCTGGTACTTGCTATGTAGACCAGGCTGGCCTCAGTCTCACAGAGATCCACCTGCCTTTGCCTCCAGAGTGCTGGGATTAAAAGTGAGCACCACCAAGCCCAGCCTGTTACATTTTTAAAAATTAAAATGTGCATTCATGTGATTTCATGTCTTGATGACAGTCTTCTGTGCTGCAGAGACATGGATAGCAGGAGCATGTTTCTTTATTAAAAAAAGTACAACAATAGCTGCATGTGTTTGTACATGCCTGCAGTCCCAACATTCAGGAGCAGGAAGATTGCAAGTTCAAGGCCAGCCTGAGTGGTAGAGAGACCCTGTCTCAAAAAGCAAGAAAAACAATAAGCGTACATCTGTATTATAGTTTCTTAGACACAGAGAAGGAATATATTACTTGCAATACTATGAGGTCACCATTTTTTCTTTTGAATTTCTCCCATACATGCTTTGAACACTTCTTTTAAAAGTTCTATTATATAAATTTGAAAGAATTATAGAATGTAATGTAAAAATCAGTAAACTCCTACTATCCCTTTCAGTTATACACTTCTGGAAATAAACAATGTTAAAATTGATGTGCGTTCTTCAAGATGTATCTTCTTTTCTTTTAGAAATATGTACAAATAGGGTCTGGAGAGATGGCTAAGCAGTTAAGAACACAGATTGCTTTTGCAAAGACACAGATTTGATTCCCAGCACCCACATGGCAGCTAACAACTATCTATGACGCCAGCTCCAGGGGAATCCAACACCTTCTTTTTAAAAAATTTTTCTATTTATTTATTTATTTTTCCAGCACCTTCTTTTAACCTTTGAGGGCATTGCATGGCATGGGTGCACATGCAGGCAATATACTCACATGCAGGCAATATACTCATACACAGAAAATAAAAGTAATAAAATATTAAAAAAGAAATATGTACAAATACAAAAAACATATACAAATACAATTCATGAATATGAACATATGTTTGAATATGCATAATTTGTGAAAATATATACACATACATATGTGCATGTATATGAATATATATTTATACACACATCTCTTGATTCTTTGCTTTGTCCCTGAAAATATTTTATTATTTTTATTTTATGTACATGAATGTATTGTCTGCATGTATGTAAGTGCACCAGTGTTGTTCAATGTCTGTGGAGGTCAGAAGAGGGCATCAGATCCCTGAAACTGGACTTATGGATGGTTGTTAGCTGCCATGTGGGTGCTGAGAACAGCCCCCTTTGTTCTTTCTTTATTCATTTCTTTACTTCTCTCTCTTTCCCTTGCTCAAGGTTCATAATATATTCATTAGAGGCCCTTTTCACTTACTATATTATTGACTATTTTTTTGAAATTAGTAGTCTGTGACCTTGACTACACACCTGAATCACTAAGATGAATTGTTTGGGGTGACTGATAGGCATCAAAATTTATGAAAATCAGCTAGATAGCCATGTTGAGAACCACCATATTAGGTTAATACACATGAACTCAATCATTAGGGGCTCCATAATATTTCATATTGCTGCTGCATTAAAATTATTTATTACTCTATTGATAGCATTGTTTCCAGGACCTTGTTTTACTAGAAATGTTTCCATTTTAGTAACTTGTTCCATTATTTCTATGATACTGTCCTAGAAATGGGCTCTCTCCGTCTGAAGTATGAACATTAAAAATTCTAATTGGTTCGTCCAGATTATTTTCTGAAATGATCTTGTGAATATCAACATTCAGTAACAGTGCATGATAAATTCTTTATGCTTTTGTCAATCCGATGCAAACAAAGTGTCCCATTTTGTTCCTCACCTGTCACTAAAGTTGAACACCTTTTTGGTCACGTGTTTCTCATTTACACTTGTTTTCTTGTGCTCTCTGTATTTAAATTCTTTATTCGTTTTTGGTTTGGCCATTTGTCTCTTACTATTAAATTTTAAGAAGGCTTTGAATACAGGAATGTTCTCTTTTGTCATATGTTTTGATACTTTGTTCTAGTCTTCTGACTGTCCTTTTAATAGCTTATACATCTTACGAACTGTTAAGAATACAGTATCAGGGGCTGGAGAGCTGGCTCAGTGGCTAAGAGCACTGACTGGTCTTGCAGAGGACTCAGGTTTGGTTCCCAGCACTCACATGGCAGTTAACAACTGTCAGTAACTCCAGTTTCAGGGGATCCAATACCTTCTTCTGATCTCTGTGGGAATTGCACAACACAGTTGCATTTATGCACATGCAGGCAATATACTCATACACATAAAATAGAAATAATAAATAAAATAAAAAGAACGCACTAGAAAATCTTATCTCATTATGTCTATGTTTCAATAGTTTCCATGTTGGTAATCTTTTGCCACTATCATTCATAATGGAAGTATATAATTCTAGTCAAGTTTCACTGATTTCAAATTAGGAGCAATGCAATAGTATTTGTACAATAAATTTTTCTTAGGGGACAGGTACTATTACAGAATTAAGAGAGTTAAGTTTTGTATTAGCTCTATTGTAAAGTAAGGATTGAATTTACCGTTAGCTTAAGAAGTTTAGTTCAGTTTAAACAAAATATTTTCTGCATAAGGCACCTGCTAAGTGTTGTAAGAGATGTCATGTGTGGTTATTAGTTTTAAAGAACATTTAGTGAGGATCAAAAATAAATCTTATGGGGCTGGAGAAATGGCTCAGTGGTTAAGAACACTGGTGGTTCTTGCAGAAGACCTGGGTTAGAATCCCAGCACCCACATGGCAGCTAACAACTGTCCGTAACTCCAGTCCCAGGGGATCTGACAGCCTCTTCTGACCTCCGCGGGCATTGTACAACATGGATGCACTTACCTACATGCAGGCAATATACACATACACATAAGAAAAAAAAAACTTTACTTTCTTTTATAGTTAAGCACCATAAAAGGATTATGGAAGGGAAGAAACAAACTTTGATCGAATAAGGGCAGCTTTCCTGAAGGCAGTACTTTGAGATAGTAAAACATGAAGCAAAGGATGAACTGTATTTTAATAGCCAGTGATGAGGCAGGGAGAGATGCTTGACTAAAGGTCATGTCTTCTGAGCAGAAATAATAAACACAGACAAAGCTTTTGGAAAGTAGACGGAGGTAGCATGCTGGAAGCATAGTGCATTGTTTGGCTGGAGAGGACACAAAGGGAGTGAGAGGACACCACACTGGGAAAAACAGATGTGCTGGCTTGAAGGATTTGAAGCTGTCACTTAATTTAATAGCTGGAGTCAAATACCAAGTGGTTTCAGTTGTTGGTTTTATGATTTTGGAATACTGGTTTGATACTATTAGTGGATTAATCTGAAATGAAAAGAGCCAGGTAACTAAATGGCTAAGGGTTTTGGATAATTTATCATGTCAAGGCTCACAGATCTCATCTACGATATGAAGCCAGTCATTTCGATTACTTGTATTCTGGTAACATTAAGTATAATCTAACTTTCACCCCCTCCAGGTCCTTTGGAACACGCATTGGATGGGAACTCTAAACCAAACAAGAGTGATTGAATTTGTCTTCCTGGGCCTCACTGACAACTGGGTGTTGGAGATATTGTTTTTCATAGCATTTTCAGTTACTTATGTGCTAACCCTTTTGGGGAACATTCTCATTATTGTTACCATAGCCTTTAGTCCACGTCTTCACACTCCCATGTATTTCTTCCTGAGCAATCTGTCCTTTATTGATGTCTGCCACTCATCTGTCACCATGCCCAAGATGCTGGAGGGACTGCTTTTAGAAAGGAAGACCATTTCCTTTGACAACTGCATTGCCCAGCTCTTCTTCCTACACCTTTTCGCTTGTGCTGAGATCTTTCTGCTGACCATTATGGCGTACGATCGTTACGCAGCTATCTGCATCCCACTGCATTACCCTAACGTAATGAACATGAAAGTCTGCGCACAGCTTGTCCTTGCACTCTGGCTGGGGGGTACTGTTCACTCAGTGGTGCAGACCTTCCTGACCATTCATCTACCCTACTGTGGTCCCAACATTATCGATAGCTACTTCTGTGATGTACCCCCTGTCATCAAGCTGGCCTGCACAGATACATACCTCACAGGAATGCTGATCGTGTGCAATAGCGGAACCATCTCCCTCACCTGTTTTCTAGCCTTGGTTACTTCCTACACAGTCATCTTGTTTTCTCTTCGAAAGCAGTCAGCAGAAGGGCGTCGCAAAGCCTTGTCCACCTGCTCAGCCCACTTCATGGTGGTCTCCCTCTTCTTCGGACCGTGCATCTTCCTCTACACTCGGCCAGACTCCAGCTTCTCCGGCGACAAGGTGGTGTCTGTGTTCTATACCATGTTCACCCCTTTGCTGAATCCTCTCATTTACACCTTGAGGAATGAGGAGGTGAAAAGTACCATGAAGCAGCTCAGGCAGAGACAAATTTGCGCCTGAAATCATGTGATCTGATGGTGGGCAATGTGATGAAATCCACAGTTTGGCCATATTCTTAGTGTGAAAGCAAAAGTAAAGTCAAAATCATTGGGTGAAAAGATGGGCCATGTAGATTCTGCACTAAAGAGGGGATCTTATTAGGTAGTATGTAAATGAGGGAGACATGTATAGGGGAACATGTTAGAATAAGAACTCAGAACACTTACGGACGGCTTCTAGGTTTAGCAGTGGAAGGATATAATTTGAGGATCTCTGTTTAGTTTCAGGCCCAGGAGCAGGTACTGCTGTAAGAAGCTGCCGCCTTGACTTGCACTGTTCTGTAGGCTGTTGCCTTTGGGAATAGAGACCCCACACCCAGGTTTAGCCATTATAGTGCTTTTGGCCTTGTTTTCAAAAATATTTTAAATAAAAAAAATAAGCCTTGCTTACTTATGTTGAATTATACTCTTGCTTTTGAACGTAGTTCTCATAGCTAGCTCTAGCTTGAACTTTTTATAGCACTGTAATTTTGATACAGTCAAGGTGGGGATGCAAAAACAACAATTTTACTTTTTGGTGCTGGGGCTCAAACCCAGGGCCCTACACATGCTAGGTAAATGCTGTACCACTGAGCTTCACACTCAGTCTTAGGACTTATTCTTGAAATAAGCTCTGTTAAGGCAAAATCTATGTTGCACAGAATGCACCCATTTTTTTTATAAGCTATTTTTCAAAAAATTTATTTTTTATTTTATGTGTATGTGTATTGCCTGCATGTAAGTGAGTGCACCTGTGTTGTGCAATGCCGTGGAGGTCAGAAGACGGCTTCGGATTCCCCTAGAACTGGAGTTAAGGATGGTTCGTAGCCACCATGTGAGTGCTGGGAATTGAGCCCGGGTCATTGAGAAGAGCCAGAGATCTCGAAGGATTGATGAGAAAGTTTCACAGCAGCAGTGATAGTGTACACAAGACCTGTACAGGATTAAGTTATTCAAAATTCTGGCATAGATGGGGGAGGGGCTCACAATGTCCCACCCCTGTCTGGGGAACTATTGGCAACTGATGGCTGCTCGGGGAGGGAGAGCCGTTTTCTTCCTATGTGGCACCTAATAGGTTGCCCATGCCCCAGCTGATGGCTTTACATCCAGGCACAAACTGGCAGCACTAAGTGGACTCAGTGGGTTTAAAATCAGAGCACATGAAGTTTGGGGAAAAGGTGGGTTGTATGAAAGAAGTTGGAGGGGAAGGATGTATTTGATCAAAACACATTCTATTCGTGTCTGAAATTCTCAAACAATAAGTAAAAATAGGTGAAAAGTTAAAAAATGGAAAGGGAATTACCAATCCCATAGAAAAATAATGTATCTCTCAATCCAGTCATTCACTTAACTAAGGACAGTGCTGTTTGAAAGTGTACAATGATAATTAAGATGCTGACTAAATTTGGGGTCAGTCACGCATTAATAGTTAAAGAAGCTACAAGAATTTATGAAGCAACCCCATGATACTGTGCAAAACACAAGCAGGGAAATGAGCAGAGAGAGTGGGGCAGGTACAAGTAGGAGGGCTTAGCATCACAGGCCCTGCAACTGGAGTTTGGGAAGGGAATTTTGCCCATAGGACACAAGCTGTTATGAAGTCAGATAAAAAGAGAGCTCAGTATACGCTGCATTTAGCCACTTGGAGATGCCTGATGATCTCAATGAGGTGAGGTCTGTACCTGCAGACCAAACTGCTAGGGGCAGGTGGTGAAATGTAAGGAAGAAAGAGCCAAGAAAGTAGTCCCAGTGGCAACTTGTGGGACAGAGGCAGTCTCTCCCCACTTTTTTTGGAAAGACAGAAGAGACCTAACTGCATGTGATGGCTAATATTGATTATCAATTTGACAGGATCTAGAATCTCTTAGGAGACAAACCTTTGGGTATGTTTGTGAGGGAATTTCTAGGTTGGGTAGGAAGACACATCTTAAATGTGGGTGACACCATTTCATGGGCTAAGGTCTCAGACTTCACAAAAAGCAGAAAGCCAAGGGAAGGCCAGCATATGCCTCTCTCCTCTTTCTGATGGCAGATACAGTGTGCCCACTGCTGCTACACGGATTCCCTGCCACACTGGACTATACTCTCAATGTGTGAATGCATTCTTTCTTAAAGGAATATATTATTGGACATGTCTGTATTAGGAGCCCAAATAATTAAACATTTTTTGATTTATTTATTTCTTATCCTTTTGATTGTTTTTAAATATGAGATATTTATTACAAGATAGTTGTTTAGACTGAAATTACATTTCCATTAAGGGAATAAATCTTTAAAGGTATAAAACAGGGCAGTACATAAAGTGCCATTTCCTGGTGCGGTAAGAATGTGTAATGTTATGGACATTTTCACATGATTCACAGCTTCTGCCCTTCTCTCTAATAAAAAAATGATTTAGAATTGAATGAGATTGTGCAAAAACATGACATTTGAAGTCAGAGAAACACACATTCAGATACATCATGTATTTTGCATATTTGTATGAGAGGATTGTTCATGGCATTACTAAGCTCAGCACAGAAGGTGATTGTCTTGTATAATATATTTATGTTTTATGTGTGTAAGTGTTTTGTATGCATGTAAGTGCACCATGTGGGTGCAGTGCTCTCAGAGGCCAGAAGAGAGCACTGAATCCCCTGGAACTGCAGTTACAGAGGGTCATTAGCTGCCATGTGGGTGCTGGGATTTGAACCTGGGTCCTCTGCAAGAGCAGCCAGTGCTCTTAACCACTGAGCCATCTCTCTGGCCCCTCAAATAATTTTTGATCAAAATGTCGTGATGGTCCCATTGCATCCATTTCCCATGAGATGCTTAACTAGAGAGTAAATAAGAGCTAAACAAAATAATACGTCAATATTTGAAGATAGAATTCTAGCCCAAAGGTGATAAGCTTTTATTTATTCTGAATAAATTGATACATTGAATTTATTTTATAAGAAATCAAAATATAAACTAGATCCAGATCTTGAATTTGAAAGAAAGTTACAGATTTCTGATGAAGTAAATGAGTGGGACAAATTGCTTCCAATTAGGGCAAGCCCAGAGGGAACTGAGGAAGGAGATGGCTCTAAGCGGCCATGCTGTGGAGATACTTGCACATCCATGCTTAGTGTGGAACTATTCAACATGGCTAAGAAATGGAACCAGCCTAGATGCATCGACAGATGAGTGGATAGAGAAAATGAGGTGAATTTACACAATGAAAACATCTCAGCCATAAAGAAAATGAAATCATGACATTTTCTGGGAGAATAGATGGAATTGGCAATCATTGCTCAGAAAGATTCTGCATGTCCTCATCACGTGTTCAATCTAGATTTAAATATATGTGTGCATGTGTGTGTATGTATGTAGTCCATGAAAATAGAAAGGGGACTATGAGAGAAGAGATGTCGGGGAGAGGGAGGACAGAGGGCGATGGAACATGTAACATGAAAGCAGAAGGGGGAGCAACATGGGGGAGAAAGCAGCAAGAAGGGGGGGCAGGGGATGGGAGAGGAGGATGCAGAACACAGTATAATGCCATATATGGGAAATGCCATAATGAAACCCATGACTTTGTACAATAAGTTAAAAGTCAATTAAAAGAAAAAAATTAAAAAATTGAATTGAAAGACCTGATGTGGTGGACCAGGACTTTAATAGAATTTAGGAGGCTGAGACAGGAAGGTAGTGAGTTGGAGGCCAACCTGGGCTACATAGCAAAACCTTGTTTAAAAAACAAAAAAAACTGGACATGGTGGTGGTAATGGTGGTGCACGCCTTTAATTCCAGCACTCTGGAGGCAGAGGCAGGGAGAGATCAAGGCCGGCCTGGTCTACATAGTGAGTTCTAGGATAGCTAGGGCTACAGGGAGACCCTGTCTCAAAAACATAAAAAAAAAGACTGAAGCTGGACACAGGATACAGAGAGACAAAAAGGTTCAAGGAGCAAAGGTGTGGGGATTTGAAAGCAAAGGGATGGGGTTAGTTACTCATGGGGAGTAAGACAAACGAAGAATAAGCAAACATGAAAACCGTAGTGCTTTCAGCGACTCGATCAGAAACTTAGACTTTAATAGTAAGCAGAGTTGCACTCGCTCTCATGCATGATCCCTGTAGCATTGGGGAACAATTCTTTTTGATATGTCTCCATGAACATTACAGATACGGCCCTCATAACTCTGTGCTAGGTAGTGATAAGGACCTTGGCATGTCAGACGATAAAAAGTGAGGGTACCTGAAACACCTAGATAAAATGCCAATGCCCATCTGGCCTGGCCATTATTTCCTTTTTAACCCCTGAGTCTGGCCAAGTAGACGTCCATGCCACTCGAATATTGATTTTTTTCCCACCCACAACACACACTGGTCTAGATAGTATTTCCCAAACACAGTGTACACACAGATCACTGGGGACATTTGTAAAACACAGGAACAGACTGGAGCTGGAGATTCTGCATTTATTTTTAAAAATTTAAAAAATCACATAGGGGTTAGAGGATAATTTGTGGGAGTCAGTTACCTTCTTCCACCATGTGGGTCCTGGGGATCAAACTTGGTCATCAGCCTTGGTGGCAAGTGCCTTTACCCACTAAGCCATCTTACCTGTCCAGATTCTGCATTTTAAACAAGGTTTTTGGTGATGCTACTGCTTCTGGGCCAAAGACTAGTTTGAATGTGGCTCTAAAAAAGTCAGAGAAGTGTTCCCCCATCTTCCACAAAGAGAGTGTCTCCCATCCTCCACACAGTGTCCCCCCATCCTCCACACTGGAAGCTTGCACATGATGCTTTTAGAGTCCTAGGTGGTTTTTACTATCATCAAACTTAATGAAATAAATAGTAATAAAAGTATGTTTATCTCTCTAGCTTGTAAAATTTTGTACACTAGGTTTGATAGTACCTGTAATCCTAGTACTGTGGGAGACTGAGTCAGGAGGATTATGAGTTTAAGGTCAGACAGAGATGCCCGGCAAGCACCAAGAACAAACAAAAAGTTACTTGTGGC